AAAAAAAAAAAAAAAAAAAAAAAAAAAAAAAAAAAAAAAAAAAAAAAAAAAAAAAAAAAAAAAAAAAAAAAAAAAAAAAACTATCTAAATAAATTATAAACAGGAAATAGTACATATGCTATATATAATAATTAAGTTCAAAGGTAAAAAAGCAAACACAATATATAATTTCTCTTAATAATCAAACTTCATTTCATTAGACTAAACTGTAACTACATTAAAGACAAAAACTTGTTACATACTTAAAGCCACTTACCTAAATTTCAAGGATTCTAAATCCCATTGCCAAAAGCAAACTGTCCCATCAGCACCAGTGGAAACCATGTATCTTTGACAGCCTTTAGCCATCGGGCTAAACTAAAAAGTAAAACATATACAATTCAGTTTCCAGAACTTCTGCTTAAGTTACAGTTTAATAGTCTTCCAAAGTTAACTTCAATTGACACTCTAAGGAAATAAAACATAAAAAATTCAAAATATAGGTAATACTATTGTAGTGAAAAAATCATAACTTCCCCACATCGATTGATACTTAACATGTTCTCAATAAGCTATTTTCAGATCTAATAAACAAGATTGGCCAGAAAAACTTAAGCAAGGTGAAGATCTAGTCCTACTAGATATTAAAGCATATCACAGAGCCTCAATAATTAAAACAATCAGACCTAACAGGGTACATTGACAGAATGACCAATGGAAAAAATATCAAGTCCAAAACTAGACTCTATTCAACTTGGGAAAACTAACTGGTAGACTGAAAGACCAGCTTGGGCAACATAGCAAGACCCTGTCTCTATAAAAAATTAAGAATTAACTGGGTGAGGTGGCATGCACCTATGGTCCCAGCTACTCCGAAGGATAAAGCAGGAGGATGACTTGAGCCCACAAGTTTGAGGCCAAATGAGCTATGATTACACCACTGCACTCCAGCCTGAGCAACAGAGAGACCCTGCCTATTGGAGAAGTGAGAGAACCTCCATACTGTTTTCCATAATAGCTGTACTAATTTATATTCCCACCAACAGTGCCTAAGTTCCCCTTTCTCCACATCCTTGCCAACATTTGTTATCCTTTGTCTTTTTGAGAACTGCCATTCCCACTAGGGTGAGGTAGTATCTCACTGTGGTTTTGATTTCCATTTTCCTGATACTTAGTGACGTTAAGCATATTTTCATACATCTGTTGGCCATTTGTATGTTTTAAGAAATGTCTATTCAGGTCTTTCGCCCATTTTTTAACTGAATTTTTTTTCTATTGAGTTGAGTTTCTTATGTGTTCTGGATATTAACCCTCTGTCAGATGCAGAGTTTACAAATACTTCCTCCTATCGTCAGGTTGTGTCTTCAATCTATACTGACTGTTTCCTTTGCCATACTGCTTTGCAGTTTGATAATATAATCCCATATGTCTGTTTTTTCTTTTGTTGCCTATGTTTCTGGGTAAAAAACCAAAGGGAGATGCAATCAGTATGTTGAAGAGATAACTGCACTCCCATGTTTACTGCAGTGCTATTCACAATAGTCAAGATTAATCAACGTAAACACCCATCTACAGATGAATGGACAAAGAAAATGCAGAATGCAGGGTACACACACACACACACACACACACACACACACACACACACCATGGAACATTATTCAGCCGTGAAACAGAATACTATTCTGTCATTTGTGGTAATATGGATGAACTTAAAGCCCATTATGTTAAGTAAAATAGCCAGGCACAAAAAGGCAAACATTGTGTAATCTCACTCATGAATTTTAAAAGTTAATTTCACAGAAGCAGAGAATAGAATAGTAGTTACCTATAACTGGGGAGTATGGGGGAAGGGGGACCACAAGAAGCTGTTTCAATGGGTATTAAGTTACAATCAGACAGGAAGAGTAAGTTCTGGTGTTCTATTATTACACAGCAAGGTGAGTACAGAAAATAAAAATGTGATGGACATTTCAAGATAGCTAGAAGAGAAAATTTTGAATATTACCACAACAAACAAATGGTAAATGCTTAAAGTGATGGATATAATAATTACCCTCATTTGATCCTTATACAATGCATACATGCACTGAAACATCACACTGTATTCTTTTTCTTTACAATTATTATAAGTCAACTAAAAATAAAAAACTTAAAAAGAATGTAGGTTGGGTGTGGTGGCTCACACCTATAATCACAGCACTTTGGAAGACAAGGCAAAACCCCATCTCTACAAAAAAAAAAACAAACACCACACACAAAAAAGAAACTTAGCCAGTTATAGTGGCATGCACCTATAGTCGCAGATACTCAGGAGGCTGAGGCAGGAGGATTGCTAGAGCCCAGCAGACAGAGGTTGCAGTGAGCCATGATCACACCATTACACTCCAGCCTCAGCAACAGAGTAAGACTCTGTCTTAAAAAACAAAAGGTGGGACGTAGGGCACAGGCTGGGCGGGCAGGCGCCAAGAATCTCCCAGCCCACCCCACAGCTCACCTGCCAGTTAAAATTATAAAAAATTTTTAAAAAAGAAAAGAGGGAGAAAAAAAGAATGTATTCATCAAAGTCAAAGGTATTTAGCTGTCCTGTTAACTGTTAAAATGCAAATCTTTTCCTGTATGCTCACTCAAACTCACCATATTAACCATTTTAAAGTGCACAATTCAGTGGCATCTAGTGCAAGCACAATGCTGTGCAGCCATCACCACAATCAAAGGTCAATAGCTATTACTTCACAAGATAAACTGCAACCTGTCAAGGCATTTTTCAATTCTCTTGGATTTGAAGTAGGCTACCAAACTATTAGAAAATAAAAATTCTCTTTCCACTATTTGCACATTTTTGTTCTTTCTTGTCTAGCAACACTAAAAAAATGAACAATTGCAGTAATAGAATAGTGTTCATTTTCTGCAAATATTTAATTTTGTAATATTTTTAATCTAGATAAAAGTCTTAATAGTATGATGAGCACCCATTTACTGGTCATCAAGACTCACCAATGGTTAACAGGGCACCATATCATGATGACATGAACCATCCTAATCTACCTTGCAGACATCACATCACTTCAGTCCTAAAACCCTCACTGTTTATCTCCTAACAATGACATTTTCCTACATTACTACAATATGGTTATCAATACTTAAGAAATTTAATATTGATAAAGTATGTAATCCATTCAAATTTCCCAAATTTCTCAAACACCCTTTACAGCCTTTTTCTCCCATAAAGCCAGAACCTAAATCAAGGCTCACACATTAACCCTTTTCCTGGGGTTCCTTATGAAAAAGCTCTCCACCTTTCTTTCTTAAAATCAGACTTTTGAGGAATCAGATTTGTTTCACAGACTATTTCTCAATTTGGATTTGTCTGATCGCTTCCTCGGGAGATTAGGGCCAAACATTTTTTACCTAAATAATAAGTAGGTAGAGAAAATATTTAACTATACATACAATGCATTTCATAGTTACAAGTCAATTCAGATTTTCTTTTTGATCAGTCTTGGTGTTTTTCTCCGTATTTACCTTCAAAATTTTCCTTTATAAAGCTGTTTAAAATATCCTCTTTTTATTATCTGAAGAATCTGTAGTGATACTCTTTTTCAAATCTGATATTTGTCACGTTTCTTTTTTGCTCCCTGATTAATCTTTTACCAGTATTTTTAGTCTTTCAAAGAACTTTTGGCTTTGTTGATCCTTGCTACTGTTATGCACATTTTCTATTCTTAATTTCTGTACTTATCTTCATAATTTATTTCTTCTTGTTTGTTCTTTCCCTAACTTCTTGAGAAATACACTTCAGCATTTTAATACATGTGTTGGGTGTGTATTTCCCCTTCAGTACAACTTCAACTGAGTATTAATTATATATTGCTATGAAACAACTTACCTCAAAAATTTACCTGCTCTAAACAACGATAAATATTCATTATCTCATAGTATCTATGGGTCAAGAACTCAACAGCAGCTTAGCTAGGTTAAGTCTGGCTCAGTGTCGAGGCTACAACACGCAGTCAAGGTGTTGACCTAGGCCACGGTCACATAAAGACTTAACTGGGAATGGGGGATCTGCTTCCAAAATGGCTTACTCACATGGCTATAGCAGAAGACATCAGTTACTACCAAGAAGACCTTTCCATAGGGCAGTTTGACTGTACAATCCACCTGACAACTGGCTTCCTCCAAGACCAGTGATTAAAGAAGAGTAAGACAAAAGCTATCTTATTATGGTGTAATCTCAGAACATGAAAAGTCACACCACACCATTTTCTCAGTATCTTTAAGTTCACAGGTCAGCCCTATTTAGCAAGGAGACTGCAGTGGCCTGAGTGGCAGGAGGTAAGAATCACTGGGCACCACCTTGAAGGCTGGCTCCCAAAGAGTATACCTCCCACAAGTTTTAATATGTAATGTTTTCATTTGTAATTTTTTCATTATTAGTCAGTTTGAAATATTCTTAAATGTCTATTGCGATTTTTTTTTAATGTATGGATTTACTTGGAAGTAGAGCTGACCCTTGAACAACACAGGGGTTAGGGTGTCAACCCTCCACGCAGTTGAAAATCTACATGTAATTTTTGACTCCCAAAAAACATAACTATTAATTAAGCCTTACCAATAGCATGAACAGTCTATTAACACATATTTTTGTATATGTATTATATATTGTATTCTTATAAAAAGTAAGCTAGAGAAAAGAAAATGTTATCAAGAAAATTGTAAGGAAGAGAAAATATATTTACTATTAAGTAGAAGTGGATCATCTTAAAGGTCTTCATCCTCATTGTCTTCATGTTGAATAGGCTGAAGAGGAGGAGGAGGAATAAGAGGAGGGGTTGGTCTTGCTATCTTAGGGGTGACAGAGGTGGAAGGAAATCTATATATAAGTAGATCCATCCAATTCAAACCCATATTGTTGAAGGGTCAACTACACATTACTTATTTTACAAAAAGTGAGAATTATCTGTTATTAATTCTGGCTGTTAGTAATTTCTGAATTAATTACACTGTTGTCAGAGAACATACTTAGAATTACTTGAGACTTGCTTTAGACAAGTTAATGTATTTGCAAGTAATATGTTTATATTGACATTTAATATCCTAGTACCATCTTAGTACTATTTCTTTATTTTCTCCTTGTTTTACTTTATTAGTACATATTTCCCACCTCTACTAAGCCTAGTAGTTATACAGTCTCTTGCTATTCTTTTGGCTGTCATTCTAGAGATTCCAAAATGCATCTTCATCTTAAAGACTAACACAAATTTGTATTTTTGTATTTCCCACTTCTCAAACAATGCAAAGATCTTAGAATACTGAAGTTACCTCCTGCTGATATGCACACTATTAAATCTTTAATTCCATATATATTTTGAAGC